GAGATTCGGGAAAAAGCTTTCTTTCCATGGAATGACGCTTCCTGGGCTATCAAAGCCCCATTCCCCGTAGTCACGTCCTGGAAGGGCCGCGGGGGCTTCAGGGGAGCTGGAGGCAACGCCGGGGTCCAGTTTCCTTTCCGTGTTGGACCCGGGTCAGTCCAGCATCAAGCTAGTTACCGCCCGTTAGTCCACTGTGTGTGGGGCCCATGTGGCCGTGGGCCTGTGGGCAAATGCAGGGAAGCAGGAGCAGAAGAGCTCCCAAGCCCAGGCTCACACAGTCCTAAGAGAGCAAACTCCTGTGTTTGGGGGGCTGAGTACTGAGGGTTTGCGGTGGCTTCTGCTCCCAGGTGTGACTGACAGTAAGCCCTCGGCCACCCCGGCTTTCCTGGGCATGTGCTTACCTTCCCTTTGCCCAGTGCCCTCCCCACAGGGAACATGCCTATAATAACTGGCCTTCCCTTCGCTCCTTTAATTATAATGGTGTCGATATCCTAGCTTTGCTGCAGACAGGCAGGCTGACCTTTGGGCAAGGGGCATATCCTTCGAGCGCTTTACTTTAACCATCGGTACGATGGGGACCCTCATACATAAAGCATTTAGCACAGGCCAGCCCGTGTGAACTGGGCGTTGACCTGTGAACCATTCGAGCGCTTTACTTTAACCATCGGTACGATGGGGACCCTCGTACATAAAGCATTTAGCACAGCCCAGCCAGTGTGGACTGGGCATTGACCTGTGAACCAGGAGGCCACAGTTCGATTCCCAGTCAGGGCACGTGCCCAGGTTGTGGGCTCGATCCCCAGTAGGGGGCGTGCAGGAGGCAGCTGATCAATGATTCTCTCTCACCGTTGATGTTTCTGTCTCTCCCTCTGCTTTCCACTCCAAGATCAATAAAAAAAAGTATTTAAAAAAAAAAAAAGAATTTAGGACATTGCCTGGATCAATGATTCTCTCTCACCGTTGATGTTTCTGTCTCTCCCTCTGCTTTCCACTCCGAGATCAATAAAAAAAAGTACTTAAAAAAAAAAATTTAGGACATTGCCTAGCCCATAGTGAACAGGAAACAAACAATGGCTATTTTTATTATTCTCCTTTATCTCAGAGCCCCGATAGTCCTGGCAAAGATTTCAGAGGCCCCAACTCTCCATCAAACTCTGCTTTCATTGTGGAAATTGTGTCAACTAAAGTTTAGCTCAGTAACTGAAAGAGGAAATTAATCACAAATACCTCAGGATCCCTGGGGAAGGGACGGAGCCAGAAGGCACACTCCCCGAGCCAGCCTCTTCCTTAAGCATGTGATGAGGAGACAGGGACAAATATCTTCATTTCAGAGCCTCTGTCTGGGTTTCCTGTTGCTGGAAGGGTGTGTTGGGGAGAGGTTGGGGGGCTGGAACCCTGCCTGGGGCAGAACTCCTTCCTGGGGGTGGGAATGGGCAGAGTAGGTGGAATGTCTTTGGGGTGGAGGGGACGGTAGAGACCTGGGGCCACCCCGGCCGGCCCCATCTCAAGGGGCGGCTGCTGTTCAGACCCCGCCCTAGTTACCGTCCATTAGTCCATTGTGTGGAGGGCAGACCTTTTGAGGCACCTGAGAGAAGGTAGAAAAGTCGGTTTAAGGGTGTAATTTCCAAATTTTTGCATGTTGCCTCTACTTTCAATTTTCTTTTAATTTTTTTTTAAATTGATTTCAGAGAGGAAGGGAGAGGGAGAAAGGGATAGAAACATCAGTGAAGAGAGAATGGTTTGATCAGCTGCCTCCTGCACGCCCCCTACTGGGATCATGAGCCCTGACTGGGAATGGAACCGTGACCTCTTGGTTCATAGGTTGATGCTCAACCACTGAGCCACACAGGCAGGGCTCCAGGTTTTAAAAACATCATGTAGACATAGGATCTAAGATGCCATTGATTGTAAGACAGTCTGATATTTAACGAACTAATGAAGAAAGAGAGACCTGTTCATTAAATGATGACAAGCCATGGACTATAGGACTAATCTTAATCCCAGAGATGTCACAATGTGAAAAAATGTGTGTCTCAGGACCCATGAAATACTGTGTATCAAGAGGCTGGAGTCGGCCTGGGGCACCTCGTGCAGTTTCCAACATACACAGCTGTTCATGGCAGCGCCTATGATGCCAACCAGGTCACCAGGATGGCGGTTCAGTAGGCGTGTGGCCGGGGGTGGGGGTGGGGGTGGGGCGCGGGTGCTGCCTCATAATGGGTTCTGATCCCCGCCACGGATGGGAGCCACCCAAGGGGCCTCACACCGGCATCTGCACAGGCGCAGACAGGCGAAGGCACTGCCCAGCATCACATGGCTGCTCAGAGCAGAGCCAGGCCGGAGCTCCACCCTTCTCACCCCTGTCCCCATCGCCCCTTCCGGGGCTGACTGTAAAAGTACCTGCCGCCGTGCCCCATGGGGACTGGAGACAGGGGTCTCCGGGACTGACCAGGGACACTTGTCCCCTCCCCTGTGCCATCCCGGCTGAGGCTCTAAGCCCTCCCTCACCCCCTAGAAAAAGCACCTTGATTGGATTTGAAGGCTCCCAGCTGGGAGGATCCTGTAAAAGTGCATTCAGACCTGCTGTTTTCCCAAAAGTGCCCCCGACTCAAGCCAGGCCCCATCAGGGGGTGCCATGTCCAGCAGGGGGGTGCGGGCGGGCCCGGCCCTCCCTTTAGGGACCAGAGCTCTGCCTGCTCCCTCTGAGCATCCGCCTGTAAAGGGATGTGTCACCTGTACCTGGAGGGAGCCCCACCCCTGGGAGGCTTCTCAGGTGGAGGGCAAGGGTCAGTCTTGGGGACAATCAGAGGGAGGTAGGGGGCTGCCATCAGGGACCCTGAGGAGGGGGGCGGGCTGCAGGTCCAGCTCTGGGTGGGGTGCTGGCCAGCCACAGCTGCCAGCCTCACCCAGGCCTGCCTGCATCCTCAGCGGCCAAAAGGAACCCCTTAACCCCCTCCCCACCCGCCACCCGCACACACAATTCTCTCCCCTCCTGGGTCCCTCCCCACAGGGCAGAGTTCCTTTCAGAATAAACACGGGACCGCGGGTGTCAGCAGTGGATTCTGAGCTCGTGGGAAACGTCATGGACATTCCTGGCCCTGCCTGCCGTGGGGGCAAAGGTGAGGGGAGGAGATAGCGTGCGGACAGGGAGCCAGAGAGGTGGCTGGGGAGCCTGGGCTGCAGGTAGAAAGACCAAAAGCTGGACTCGAGTCCCTAACAGGGAGTGTGTCTGCTCCCTGCAGTTTCTTCCTGGACCCTGCCCTGCCCCCGCCCCCCCATCCCCCAGGCAGTGCCTCAGCCTTCCCCAGAGCCTGCACATGTCACCAGGGCCATCTCAGTGTTCCTGTACTCCTGGTGGACACAGAAAGGGGCTGTTCTCCAAGTCAGGAAGGGGCCTTTAAGATTGGTCTCTGCCCCCCCAAGTACCGCAGCCCAGCCCCCACTCTGGGGCCCACAGTGCCGACTCCCTCCAACAGGCAGGGCTGGGCTGCCGGGCCCTCTGGGTCACAGGGCAGTGCCTGCCTCCCTGGCTGGTGGAGACTTAGCCTGTTGATGGCAGACGGTGAAGCTGTACCCAGGATCTGGGGGCAGGGTCTCTGGGCCACGTAGGGATGCCCGTCGGGGTACAGGTCATTGCCACATATTTGCAGTCCTCGTGTCCTTTCACAGAGGGGAAGCCAAGGGCCGGATGCCTCGTCAGGTTGGTGGTGGGCCTGGGCCTAGAACCCGGGCCTCACGTTCAGAGTCCATGTCCCCCCCCTGCTCAGCACAGACGGAGGAGGGAAGCAGTCTAAACAGCCAGGCGACTTCGTCTCCAGTTCCCACGGAGCCTAACTCGGCTGAGCCTTCGCTGAGAGCCGCGCCAGCAGACACCACGCCCGCCTCATGCAGGAAAAGACAGGTCCCGGCTGGGGCGTGGGCTCTGTACAGGGGGTGGGGGGCTGGCACCGCAGGCCGCCGGGTGACTGGTGACTGCAGCGGGACCACAAGACGCGATGAGGTCGGAGGGAGTGTGCAGAAGGGCCTGGCCGAGGCGCATTTGTGGGAGGGACGACCGTGGTACCTACTTAGGGGCATGGGCCGGAGGGGCTGAGACATCAATAAATAATCGTTTGTTGGGGCTGGGAGGGTGTCAAAGGGAACCTTTAAGGGGCCAGCAGCAAAAGAGTTCTCCGACTCAGGGGGCATTGGGGTGAGTTTCGGAGGCCACCCCCTCTGCCTCCAGCAGGTCATGGATGGCCAAGGGGCCCCCTGTGTCTGCCAGGAATTGGGGACAGTCCCCCCTGGGGGGTACTGCCTCCCTGCTTCCATCATCCCAGCTCGGGCCAAGCCCTTGGGGGAGAGGAGGAGTGAGGATGGGGGACCCCCGGCAGCTGTTTGAGTGGAACATCTGGACACAGGCAGGTGGGCCGCTCACACTGGCACCAGGACATACGAGTTGCTGCCGCAGCCCCGGGGGACGTAGCGAAGCCCCTCTACCATGTCCCCCACGGCGCTGCGCGGACAGCCCTGGAGCCTCTGATAGGTGAACATGCCCACCCCCAGGCAGAAGAGGAGGCCGAGGAAGGCCAGCAGCCCCACCGCCTGCCTCCGGGTGGCCTCGGTGACGGGGGTGCTGAGGATGCCCAGCCTCTGGGGGTTCTTGGGCGTGGGGGCCCAGCTGCCTGTGGCCACTGGCTCCCTGCTGGGGGCGGAGACACG